CCACCGGGCCCCGGTTCATCGGTCTGATCGGTCCACCGGGCCCCGGTTCACCGGTTGTTCGTTTCACTGTTCACCGTTAATAACGGTAGAGCGGTTAACGATTAATCGTCACCGTTGCATCCCTAGTCGTAACAAATCGATTGACAATAAAGATATTTATTATTTTATAATTTGCTTTATACGCATTTCACCATACAGTGAAACTCTTTGTTTTTTTGACAATAACTGAACATTGAGATAGAATAAAGCATCTATGAAAAACGAAATTCGCTTTATTAGAGCCTTTAAAAAGTAAAAATATTCTGGATTCTTTTCTAAGGAATTTCTAGATTTGAATGTGTTTCTAGATAATAGATTGTCACGTCATACTTACAACTGTTACTAATATGAAACTAATGGTAATGATCTTCTTATTTACTTTTCAAGCATGATTCGTTAGCGATGGCTCCTTATATTTTAGTTACACTTAGTTTTTTCTGTTTTAAACATTTTTCATAAATACTGGGAATAAGATAAAGCTCCGTATCGGAATATGTTAATATTCTAAGCAAATAAAATTTGTTATTTTAATCGTTGAAAAAAAGTAATACAAGAACTACTGCCATTGCGCCCGCTTGTTTTTTCAAACGAAGTCTAGAAGAAAAGGAACGGTAAACATCAAACATTTGTTATTCACTCTCTTTCGATTATAATGACTGGAAAGTAGAAGAAGAAAGAAATCATTATTGACGTCTCGTTAAAAAAACGATTGCAAAAGATTTTTTTTCTGTCTCTCTTTTCTGTTCTGACATCAATTACACGAGCATTTAAAAAAATATACGTGTATGTATATGTTCTTTTTCTTACACAAGCACTAAGTGTAAAGTAAAGCGGCAAAGAAACACTGTCACATTGAAAAAATAACTTCCCTCTCACTGAAACTCGTTGTAGACGAACACAGACTATGTCGAACACATATCATATGGTATCTGAACTAAAAAAAGAGTCCATCGGTAAGTTTTGTACTCGTATAAGTTCTTACCTTCGATAAAATGTCTAATTTTATTTAGAGGCTACAAAATCTTTTACACGTCATGAGAAGCGTTTGAAAAGTACACGCAGAGAAAAAATTACCGATGTTTCTCAACTCAAACCTGGCGATCATGTCAGTTTTTATAGAAGTGATTTCTACTATGCACATCATGGTATTGTACGTGAAGCTAGTACCAATCATCTTCGTATTATACATTATTACAATACAGCAGCAAATGTATGGAATTCATTGGTTAAAGGTTCATTATATCTTGCTGAAGTTGTTGAAAGTGAATGGGATTTAAAAATGGATAGTGATAGTGAAGAAATTTATTTACATCACTATGATGATATAGAATGTTTTTCGAATGAAGAAACTCTTGAACGAGCTATTACCAATCTTGGAAAACGTGGCTATTCATTATTTAGTAATAATTGCGAACATTGGGCACGATGGTGTCGAACAGGTGATTCCTATTCAGAACAAATTATCCGATTTCGTAATTTTGTTAAAGAAAAAGCCGCTACACTTTTAATTGTTGATCCTACTGCACTACTTGTTAAAGATATAGCTGTTGTTGGTATGCAAAATCTTGGCAAATTTCTTGGTGCCGTTGGATCGGGTGTAGTTCTTACGAGTGTCGAGAGTATTTCAACATTCATCGATATAAAAAGAAAAGAAAGTCAACGACGACAAGGTGGCTTGAGTGAGATGGCTTTCAAAAAATATGTCGTACTTAGAATCACATCAGCATGCGGCACTGTAGGTCATTATTTTTATTATAGAAAAAAAAGTCACATAAAATATGTATACTTGTTGAGGTCATCGGAGGAACTGCAGGTACTATTGTCGGAACTGTTCTAATTCCTGTACCCATTCTTGGCTCAGTTATCGGTGGTGTAATCGGTAGTGTAAGCGGAAAACTTCTCAGTGGCCTATCGGGTATTGCCGTGTCAAAAGTTGTTGCAGTACACGAGAAACAGAAGCAAACAAAGATAGACGAGATGAAAACTGTGCCACAACTAATGGATCAATTATCGCAGCATGCCAAAATTTTCCACGATTTAGTGACACTAACACTCGATCCTGAAAAAGAAGCACAAGTAGAAACCATTGTTAAAGAAGCAACAGAACCTGACTCACCACAATCGTCACCATCACTCTATCCATTTTTTGAACAACTAATACGCCATTATTCGATTTTGACATACCAAGATTGTCAAATGGCTACTGAACTCTCGAAGAGTGCGTTTTCGAACACAAATGATTCAGAATATTTTATACTCCAACCAATACCCGACGAAAATTCACCTGAAGAATTTGCATCAGCAGTCGATTTGCTTGTACTTCGATGGCCGGCGGAGAAATCTCACCCATGGGAAAGTGGTGAAGAGCAAGTGCTTGATATTAATGACTTGAATGCAGCAAATGAATCAGTCCAATAGCGAATTTTAAACATTCCTACTTCTGTGAGATCCATGCTCATGTTAAAAAAAAACAAGCAAAAAAATCAGCACATACATGATTTTCATCAATTTGGTTCCTAAGCGTTAATCAGCTACAATTAATTTTGATAAGAATCTAACAGAAAACTTTTTGTAAATCATAACAATAAGAACTAGTAGAGAAGACTTTAAAAGAGCATTCGATGGGTGCGACGAGCATCCAAATATTTGTAATTTACATATATTTTTTGTTCATTCTGTTCTGATTCTCAGCTTAAATTCCTCGATACTCATGGAAATTTCGAGTGCTAGAGTAAAGAAACATATTGGAAACAAATTATCGAGTGCTCCAGTAGAAGTAAGCCTACCAAAATAATAGTTTCAAGTGATGAGGTTAGTTTTGAAGTCATGAAATGTCTTCAAAAAGCGATTCATAAATGTCTATTTTATTCGGCTACCTCAGTAGGATGATTTATGTTCGTCACATAATTGTCTTAATTTCATGATTTTCTAAAAAAATATTTAACAGTAACTAATGAAAAATAACTAGAGAGGAATTCATAAACATTTTTGACGAAAAGCACAGCCATAACGAATTTTTTTCTTAAGTGACATTTGAGACTCTAAAAAAATCTTTTCCTGTAGCTGGACACATACAAAAGATGTTTTATTCGATTAAAGAGTTTCTTTTTAGTTTTCGAAAACTGTTAGCTCATATTTAATTTCGATGTTGGACGAATTTTAATCGTATGTACCTATGTTCGAATGTTTATTTCTATAAAATTCATTTCGACCAGTCGAAAACTCAGCTTTTTAGCTAACCTATCGAAAAGTGAGAACCTAAGGAATCTGTTTGAAAATTCATTGTCCTCGGCAATCTTAAGTTGACGTATCAAACTGCTTATCGGATGGTCAGTTGGGTTATGATTTCAGGATGTAGCTTAGGTTTTTCCCCGTAGAAAAAATTCAACTTCGATCAGTCAATGTTTACTTACTAATAGACCCCAGGCTTTTGATCACTTGTCTAAATGAGCTTCAAGTCAATAGAGTATAATGTGTGGATAATGCAAAAAATGATCAAGTTCTTCTAATATACACTAAAACAATCCATGCTGTTTAGATAAATTCACTTAAAACCTTTGGCTTTCTATCGTGCTTGAACAATGAAATCGGTTGGAAAGACGTTTAAAAATACAGATCGATGATTGTTTACTACACTCGTTTTGAAGTTCGTTGTAATCAACAGTGACTTAAGCGAGAAAATTTAACACTTTTTGCAGACCCATCTTACAGATCATTAAGACATGTCAACATGATTTTCTTGGATTTTTTTGTTTTTGGCTTTATGAGATTTCAACAGAAGTCGGGATTTTAAATTTATACTCTTCGATTGAATCATGAAATTGTTGACGTTCGCATACAAGCGCAAGGCATTATGGATGGATGGATGAGAACAGATCACATTTAAGTTGATCGAGGGTACAGCATTTATCGTGCCTACTTGTTAAGTACATCGATTGTAATTGATTCAATCAACTTTGGCTACTGGAAGTAGCTAGTTGGTGGGTGTTGGTGTGTGGGTGTGTGGATATGAATGTAGATGACCCCTCTCCGTTTGAATATCTACATCCACACCCACCCATATCCCACACCTATAGCTACACTCTGTACATCTAAACAATATATCGATGATGACAATAAGAATCCGGAATTTAATAAAGAGTTAAAAATATATGGTTTCCTTGGTAATAATTATAGTTTTCAAAAATATCTTGAAAAACATCCAAAGTTGATTTATAATGAAACATACGATGATTTAACCGCTTCACCTATAGATCAAGAAATGCAAGACGTAAATATGTTTATTTTTTATTTACAATTTATTAAAACAAAAATACTTTTTGTACTTTGCTGATATGAAACGTCTTACTCGTCAAGCAATGATTATTAAATTTATTGGTGAATTAATTCAAGCTTTAATAGGTGATCCAATATGATATGTTCGAGAAATTTTTAAACGGTTAGACTGAATACTTTTTAACTGGGAATAAAATAAAGATTCCATGTAGATCAATAATCGATAAAACATATAAACAAAGATTTTCAAATGAACTTCGTACGTTGCAAAGACATGTTCACCAATGTGCACAACAAAATAATAAAGATTTTGTTAAATAACAGAAAGAGATACACGGTTCGAAATTGCCCGACAGGATCCTATCGCACCCTAAATAACCCGAGATTGTCCGACAGTAGGAATATATGGTATCCGATGATATCTGACATCATGAATAACATTATTTATACACTAACTAATATTCAAACTGAGCTTTCAATTTATTTTTGGCTACAGTACAGCTCTTTTTTATTAAATATTTTAGAACAGTAAATTATTAAAAAATTCGAAAAATAAATATTGGTGATTATGCACACAAATTACTTTCCTATTATCTTTCCACGTAAAGAACTGTTATCTTCAATTAGGCTTTAGGTGACTCTCAGTGTACTCAGAAACTAATAGAAAATAAATTTCAAATGTTTCATACCATGTGCTGAAAATTTGTTCGAATTTTTAATTCGTCAACTCTAAATTTCTTTTTTTAAAATTATTGGTACGAAATATCGCGTAGTTAATTATCAATACGAATAGTCATATGAGAAATTGGTTCGACCCAAATAAGTTGATTTTTTAATAGCATGAACGTAAATAAAATCGTAAAAGACAACCGATACAATCTTTTTCTTCTGGTCGTGGTTCGTAAACAACAACTACAACGTTTTAAATACAAATATAGTATGAGGATAATTCTTTGTCTTTTGTCTTTTTTGAAACTGTTGTTTTAAAATTTGACAATAATTTGTCTTTCGTTGATTTTTCTTTCTTGTTTTCTGTAACTTTTTTTTGTTGGTGCACATTACCAATGATTAAAAACGAAAATTTTTCAATGTAAATAAAATTTTATAAACTGTGAACAAGACAAAATTTCTTGAGTATCTTATGGTCTGTTAGTTTTTATACATATAACAAGTAAAAAGAGCAACATTCTGTTCGACCCCCGTATCTTCCAACATGAACCGATTGTTGGATCCTAGCTTGAGATTCTTCATACTAAGTAAATTTATTCAAGTAAAAAACAATCAATAAACATAATGTTTTCTTACGAGGAACGGAAAAACGTTTAGATCCAGCTAGTTTAGATCAAATTGAAGTTATGGAATCATTACCAAAGGTAAAAAAATACAGACGACTGTTTATTCTACTTTTGATTCCTTTTTGGAATTACAAAAATGTTATAAATTACGTGATTTTGCAAAATTACAACAAGTTATGTAAACAATGTCTGAAGAAGAAGTTTGCCGTTATGGTGATTTTTGTATTAAATCGCGTTTATACATAGCAAATGCAAAAGATGCAGAAAGCGATCTTAAAAAAAGAAACAAAAAAGGATACAGAAAAAACTACAAGATACGTGGAAAATCACGCGTTCGGTAACTACAAAATTGAACTCTAAACACATATTTTAATTATGCCTTTTTATTATAATTTAACACTTTTTTCATATCAAGAAAGTTCAAGTTAATAAAAAAAGGACTCTCATCATACAGTTTTATTAAACCTGTGTAAAAAAATTGATGAACGAGTGAAACATTTCGTAATACAAGTCGTGCATTGACCATTGACTGCACATAGTTCACTTTATAAATTATTATATATATATTTGTCTAAAACTATTTTTCTAAAAATAATGGCACCAATGATACTAAAGAAATATGATTATCATAACATTTTATACCAATTTCAGTCAGTTATTTAGTTGATTACTTGATTTTTGTGTGCTGCTTATTCAATTGAAATCTACATACGCCTCTGTGTCATCTTATCAAATATTAATGCAGCTCATTTTGAAGGCTATGTTGACGGATCGTCTAGTGCGGTAAAAGTTCTGTTGATATCATATATTTGTCAGTTTAACTGCATTTTCATCTTTGATTGATGCGATCATAGAACAGTTATTAGAAATTAGTCAGTATCCAAAAATAGAAAACATTAGATTTAAAGAAAATAAGATTCAAATAAATATACATTACGCCCGTGAAATATTTTTATGCCAACCGATTCTTCTTCTTGAACTTGATAAAGTCTTAAATATCAAATTTTTCTATTTATCTTTGAAACATTTCAGATAAAAGTTCCATCAAAATGGTATTGCTACGCATGGTAAATATGCTTATTTATTTCCTTTGTTGATCCTAATAGTTGTCCACCTGAAGTAAATGGGAGATGAAGACATTGAATAGTTGGTTAAATGTATGTTATCATTAAATTCGTTATTAAAATTTGAATCGAACAATTGGTAATATAACGCTTATTGTTAGGAAGTTTATCAATGTAAGATTAAACTTTTGAATACGAAATATTTGTTTTTTTTTAAATTAGCTTGACACAAAAACAAATAAATAATTTATATAATTAAAGCAAAGCGGTATAACTATAAGCAAGTATTTTTCAAATAATATAAAATCATAAAAACTGAATCAATAATTTAGAATTATTATCATTACAAAAGTTGAGCACAATAATAAACAACTACTAATTATCACATCACTCATACTATCCGCATGCATTTCAAACTCAATTAAGTTCCCGTGTCAATTGTGACATATACATTTCTCTAATAAAAAATGTAAATTGCTTCATTTTTTATGCCTTCTGATGATTAAATAATTACATGGTCATACATATCTTTTTGCTTAATTGATAAAGAACGAAAAAAAAGAAACGCATGAGCAGTTAAATCACCATTGCCAATAATTATTTACGAAAAAACTTGCGTATACTTATCTTTAATATTTTTCATTACAGCATGCTTGAAAAGAATCAATCGAGTGATAGAAAAGCTCTGTTGAATGCATCAAGTAAATTGTCTATTGATGATGGCGATGATGATAATCGAGGCAAGAAACAACTTTCAGTCAATAGGTATGATCGATTAAATGATTGACTTCGAGTAAAGCACAATGAATTTATCATTTTTCAAAGTTTCTTTGATTGGCGCCGATACTTTAATAGGAGCACGGACGATAAAAATTACATTAAATTAGATGATGATACCCAACATAATGATAAAGATGGGGTAGTCGGTGTTTTTCAATTAGTAAGTGTATTCAAACGAAATACAAACTACGTAATTGATGCTTTTAATTTTATTGTAGTTTCGGTTTTCAAATTGTCTAGATATTGCCCTGATGTTCACTACTATTTGTTTGATAGCGGTGCACACGGTTGCCATGCTCGCTAGCCTAGTTTTGTTCAGTCAACTCATAGGAATATTTGCTATTGAATCATTTGGTGATATATGTGAGCAGCAACATAAAAGTTCAAGAGATCCAATGAAGAATGACAATACAAGTTTTCAAGTCGCTGAATTCGCTACATCCAATAGTACTTCATTGCATAAGTATTCCGCTAAAAACTATTATTCGTTGATATATATATTTTTTTTAATTTAGACTACGTCACGGTAGTGAAATGAATTTTTCATTAGGTTTAACTGTACTAACGCCTTCATTTCGAGGAACAGTTATGACCAAAATTCACTGGTTATTGAGTAAGTGTACTGTACATACCAACAAGATTATAAAGAATACTGGACATCGTCCTTTTTTCTTTGTAAATGTAGTTACTGCTACTGTCAAGTTGCTTACAGGAACGATTGAATATTTTATTTGGAATATCAGTGAGAAACGGCAGATATTTCGTATGCATGTTTCTCTCTTTCGATCACTTATTCAGCGTGTAAGTCAAATACACTTCCATTTAAAAAAAACGCTTGCTCAAATTTTAATCGCAGGCTTTGCTCAGCATTTCTATTAACTTATAACATTTATTCTCATTTATTATATAGAGTGTCCATAAAAATATTTTTATATTGGGGTAACGCTCTGATGTCGAATAAAAATACGTATCAAATTTTGTATAAAATGAAAGAGTAACGACAATGTGATTGATCAATACTAAACATTCAGGACTCTGAAAACCTTTCAACTATGAACTTGTTAAATTTCTAGACATTTGCGTAATGTAGTGGTGATAGCCTATTAGTAATGAGTCATTTGACAAAAAACTGTATTCTTCCCACATTAATGCATACATCACCATAACAATGGAAAAGATAGGACAACACTCACTTCTGTTTACTACATGATACTGAGACTCATAATTGCGAAAATTTTCGAAAAAATTACACCCAACTGCGATTTTTTCACTGTAACTATGCGCGGGTGTCGATGTCGGTGTCGGTATGGCTATTGACATCCTCTTCACCTATACCCAAACCCTTCTGAAATAAATCAAAGTTGAAATTGAATTATAAATTGGGAAGTATAGATAAGATCGAATTTATGGAATAGGAGTGCAGTTGAAGTAACACATAGTCAAACTTGCCTATTTCTAATTGTTACTGTTTCTCTTTCCATTTTGTAGAACATTTCCTATATGGATACGAGGCCTATTAGTCGCCTTAATGCTAAACTGTTTCAGTAAGTAATGGTGATAATTTATATTGAATAAATTTATCTGGTTCAATTCTTACGTAGTAACATTGCAAAGATCGATGACGGCATTGGTTTTGAATTTCTAATATTGATAGCAACATTATTCAATATAATCGGTTGTGTAATAGTATCTTTCTTTATCAATTGGCAATTGACTTTGATTATGATATGTTTAATAGCTTTGGTTATTGGCAGTTCTTTTGTGTTTTCTAAGGTATCAAACATTGTTCAATCAATTAAATGTATTAGAATCGTTACAGCTCGCTGCTAATGAAGCCACGAATCAGTTAAGAGCATACACAAAAGCGGGACAAATTGTTCAAGAAGTGTTTAGTTCATTGCGGACTGTTCTTTCTCTTAATGGTAACAAATTTGAGCAAAAACGGTAAATAAATATATATACAGTACCCGTCAGAAGTCCTGGAACATGTAAAAATCAAGGTAAAGTTGAACTGTTTTCCACCAGATTCTTATCAGAGATAGAACCCGAAAAACTGTGATGGCAAGCAACAACTCGAGCTCCATTGATCGAATCAAAATGGAATTGCAGACCACACACTACGTTTTCAACTTCGGCGAACTCTATCTTAATATTCAAAGGACTTTTCAATCTGGTTCATTGATATTGTGAAGCCTAGTCCTTCTTACGTCTTCCACTCTCCCAGTTTCTCCTGAAACTTATATTAAAGATGTAAAAAGCACCAGGCTTCACAGTATCGATGAACCAGATTGAAAAGTCGTTTGAATATTGAAATAGAGTTCGTCGAAGTTGAAAGTAGTGTTTGGGCTTTAATTTCCTTTTGATTCGGTCAATCGAGCTCGAGTCGTTGCTTGCGATCACAGTTTTTCGAGTTTTATCTCTAATAAGAATTTGGTGGAAAACGGTTCAACTTTACCTTAATTTTTATATCCCGGGACTACTGAGAAGTACTGTATATATATATAACGATTTTACTTGCTTTTAAAATATGATTCAATTTTTGTTATTCTCACTGCATTTAGATATGAAAGAGAACTATATTTAACTCGTTGGAGTAGTGTTCGCGAAGGTGTGATCTGTGGAATTTTTGCTGGATGGCTTTCTCTGGTAAATTACCTAGTTTATGCAGTTGGTTTCATTTTTGGATCTTATCTTAATTCAAGTAAAGATCATCATACTTTGAATGTTATTGATATTCTTGTCGTGAGTCATTCATTTAATTAGCCAATAAGGAAGCCAATATACGACTACTCTATTAATACAGGTCGTTTCTATCTTTGCACGATGTCTCAGATCCTTCAGTCTCATTGGTCCTTACTTGCAATCATTTTCAGAAGCTCGAAGTGCAGCAGTATCTGTGTTTCAACTTATCGACGAGGTAAATCTGAGCTAATTGAGATATATTATCAATAAATATGTTCTCTATTTGCTTACATGACATAGGGAAATGACGCAAGTATAAATGACACAGATGTATGGAAGGAAGATGCAGAACCGGTTTATGATATCAATGGTGATATAGAATTTAACAGAGTAAACTTTTTCTATCCATCTCGAAAAGATGTATCCGTTCTATGTAATATCTCTCTTACTGCTCGTGTTGGAGAGACAACTGCTCTCGTAGGTTCAAGTGGCTGTGGTAAGTCTTTTCCAAAGCAAAATAATATTTAAATGATCTCATTTGTGTTCATAATTTATTCTTAGGAAAAAGTACTTGTATATCACTTTTTCTTCGTTATTATGAACCTTCATCTGGTCGCATCACAATCAATGGTCGATCAATAAGTGACTACAATATTGAACAACTTCGACAAAATATAGGAGTTGTTAGTCAAGAACCTGTATACTTTTGATTCGTTTTCCTTTTCTTCCTTATGATTTCATTAACTATTATAATAGATTTTGTTTGGTCAAAGTATTTATGAAAATATTCGTTTTGGAAAAGTAAATGCAACACGAATAGAAATTGAAGAAGCAGCAAAAGAAGCAAATGTACACCATTTCATCATGCAGTTGCCAAATGTTTACACTTAATAGTTATCGTTTTCCACATAAATTTAACATTGATTCTTATTTAGAAATATGAAACACTTGTTGGCGAACGTGGTGTACAGTTGAGTGGTGGGGAAAAACAACGTATTGCATTAGCTCGTGCTCTTGTCAAACAGCCTACTATCCTTTTATTAGATGAAGCAACAAGTGCACTTGATAATGTGAACGAAAAAATTGTTCAAGAAGCGCTCAATCGAGCATGTAAAGGTAGCTATTGTCTTTTCTGTTTCTCATACGGATATAACATTCTGTATAGGTCGTACAACTATTGTTATTGCTCATCGTTTGAGTACAATTCAAAATGCTGATAAAATATATGTATTAGATAATGGCAGTGTGATTGAGCAAGGTACACATGATATATTGATGGCAAAACGAGGAGGCAAATACCAAGCAATGGTTAAACGTCAACAAATGGAAAAAATCAATGATGATCAAGATGACATGATGACCATGCAACAAGCAAAAGAAGAAGACGAACTATCAATAAGTATATATATATATATATATTATCACGTTGATGACCTTTACTGTCGTTGATCTTTCTTCCTTTGACAGTCGAAAGATCTCGTTTGCTTAGCGATAGTCGAATTGTTGATGCGACAAAAGTATAAATACCGCTACAATTATTTATAAAAACCATTATTGATATCTTTCTCTTATAGCAAAGTTCAAAAACATTAGGACAAAGCATCGGCTTTTTCAGACTCTTATCAATGAATAGCCGCGAATGGATCACCATCTTGATTGGTTGTATAGCATGTGTCCTTAATGGTGTGGCTCAACCAATGTTTGCACCTTTATATACGAAAATGATCGATGTGAGTGATTCATTTATATAAATATCGTGCAACACGATTAACAATGTAAATCTTTTTATACCAATTACGTTACTCTGTAGACATTCAAATATTGCTCAACCTCTGAACAAGGTCATCGAGTGTTGATTATCAGTGTTCTTTTTTTACTTTTAGGTGTTAGTTTATTAATTCTTCGTTTGTTTCAGGTAAAAATACTATTTCTAGCTTCGATGAGTGATTTATTTATTCTTTTCTATAGTATACAGCTTTTGCCATAGCAGGAGCAAAGTTGACACAACGAATTCGTTCGAAAGCTTTTGAATGTCTTCTTCGTCAAGAAGTTGCTTATTTCGATCGACCTGAAAACAGCTCTGGTTCGATTTGTGCTTGGCTTTCTTCTGATGCATCAGCCATTCAACAGATGACTGGTACTCGATTAGGAGCCATTTCTGAAGCTCTCGCACTGTCGCTTTTTGGAATTCTATTTGAATGTCTCATAAGTTGGCAATTAACAATGATCATTGTTGGTCCTCTTTTTCTCATAAGCATAATAGCCTATGAGGATGTAAGCCTACGCCGATGGGTGACTAAACAATCTAATCAAAGTCGGCAACGAGCAAGCTCAGTAAGATCATGTTTTAAGTAATAATCCTTTTTCTATGAGAAAAGCTAAAATGTCACGAATTGTTTGATATATCAAATAAAGAATATTCACTTTGTCTTTTGCCTCTGCAGCTTGCTGTTGAAGTTATTCACAACATGCGTACAGTGAAACAATTGTCAATAGAAAAGGAAGTTTTACGTCAATATTCTGAACTGATTCATCAAATGTTAATGTTAGCCACTTGAATATCATACATGGATAAATTTGTAATCAATCTTGTTTTGTCATAGATTGTCATGGAAAAGTTCAATAGTTACTTCAATGGCGTATGGCATATACTGGACAGTAGATCTATACACTTCAGCATTCTTGTACTGGCGTGGTCTCGTCCTTTTTGAGAAGAGCAAAGTCACTGCAAACCAAATTATAATGTAATTGAACTCACCGTTTGATAAAACTACAGACAATGTTTCGTTATCTTCTTAATTCATTAGGGTGGTTGCTTTTGCTGGTTTTTCGATACAAGCACTAAAACTCATTGGAATGATGTAACACTCAATCTTGACTTTGCTTATTTCTCTTCTAATGTCTTCATTCTAGATCTAGTAGTATTGCTGCATCAATTTCGGCTGCTGACACGTTTTTTGATTTATTTGATCGAATACCAGCTATCGATAATACATCTACTGCAGGACAAGAACTAGTAAGACAACATAGACTATAATTATTTTTCTTCGATTATGTATATGCCAAGGATATAATATGATTCGTATAGGTTGATTTTCATGGAGAGATAAAATTTGATCAAGTCAAATTTATTTATCCGACTCGACCAACATCTATTGTTCTTAACCAATTTCAATTGAATATCAAGCCAGGTAAATGAGATAAATTTTGATTTAATCATGTTATTAATAGTTATGATCCACTGATAAGGTCAACGTGTAGCTCTTGTTGGTATGTTTGAATTAAATGTTTCTTTTAAATGTCAACTATGAAAGAGGATCTATAAAGGTACGTCTGGAAGCGGAAAATCAACAACTATTCAACTGTTGGAAAGATTCTATGATGTTACAAGTGGTCGAATTGTTAGTATTTCTTCAACATATAGTTCAAGTCATCATATGAATTTGTTCATTCAATCTAGCTTCTTGATGACGTTGATATTCGACGAATAAATCTTCATTGGGTTCGTTCTCAGTTTGGTCTTGTTAGTCAAGAACCAATTTTGTTCGATTTAACAATTGCTGAAAATATAACATATGGATTAGAAAATGTTTCAATGGAAGATATTATTAATGCAGCAACTAAAGCTAATATTCATCAATTTATTGATCATTTACCTCAGGTTAAATAATACAACATAATATAATGTATCCATTATTATTGTGTGACTTCGTTTAGGGTTACGAAACAAGAGTAGGAACCAAAGGTACTTTTCTGTCTGGTGGGGAGAAGCAACGTATTGCAATTGCTCGTATTCTGATCCGTCGACCTAAAGTATTACTCTTAGATGAAGCTACAAGTGCTATGGATTCATACAATGAGCAAGTATAGTTGTTTTATCTATTGATCAATTAAAATATCATCTTCATTGTACAAATATAGATTATACAAAAAGCTCTTGAACAAGCTCAAACAGACGATCCTAGTCGAACATCACTCATTATTGCTCATCGACTTTCAACTATTCGCTCATGTGATCTGATTTGTGTACTTGAGAAAGGACACATAGTAGAAAGTGGTACTCATACAGAACTGATACAACGACATGGAACTTATTACAAAATGCTTGCTCAAAACAATTTACAATGATCATTAGTACACGATTTTGAAAGTACAAAAACACTTTTTTAATACTTAAGGGTGTGGGTGTCGGTATATCTCTGGACATTCACACCTACATCCATCCTTTTTCTAATCGAAATCTTCTAAATATTTATCAAAAATACACAAAGCTGTTTCTAGAAAGCAGTGCGCTTAGAAATTTCTCAAGTGGCCATTTTTCTTTGACTTCGGAAAATATATGATTTTGCAGTTTTTTAAAATGGCTATCAAATTAGTACTATCAGAGTTTCACTTATTTCAATTTTCAAACTAATATATTTGTTGAGAGATAATTATGGATGATAATTATAACAAATATGGTAACAGTGTTTACCAGTATACTTGCTCTATATATCATGGAATTAAACAATCAATAGATGATTTATATATGATTTTGAAGTCCTATCAAACAGCTATCAAATTCATAATTTCAATGCTGTATTATCTTTTCTTACAATAATGAAATTAAATCCACCATGATAAAACTGATTATTAAAATATGGCCAAAATGAACTACTCTCTGGATAACTTTTAGCTTTCAAAATTCGATCAAAACCTCAAGAATCTAGTACTAAAATGTTAGTCTCAACATACTCTTGCCAATAATGTATAATTCAGTGGAGTTGAAAAGGAAAAGTACTAGTGGACTGATTTGACCTGTTACGCATCCCCCTCTTTTATTTGAATCGACATTCATATTCCCAGGCGAGCAAAGGACGGGTAAAAAGACTAGTCTCATATCTAGTCCTGACGGGACGTCCTGTATAGTCTTTTTCTCAAATCGGACTATACCATGACTAGTCTGGAAAAAGTTGTCGTCCATAATACCCGTCCAGACTATCTTACTGATGGGCGTCATTGGCTCTGACATGTCTAGTCTGTTTCACTAAAAAGACCCGTCTAGGACTAGTAAGAATCACTAATAGGTGGACTAGTCCTGTAGGAGGACTTTTTGAGAAAAAGATTAGTCAGGACGGGTAACAGCGACACCACATAGAACAAGTTGTAGTCTTGTGTAGTGGACGAGTTCGGACTAGTCTAAATGAAAATGTGTAAAGATGAACGTTAGATTCGAACATGCATACAATGTGTTACTTACCCATCGTTTAGACCATTGAGTCATATGATCAGCAGATCAACTCTACACATACATAATCATTCTAAGATGCTATTTAATATAATTTTATTCCACGTTTTTGATGTTCGCATTTAAGTAAAAAATTATCGTTTACAAAATAGGTCATTAATTAAACAACACTAGATAAAACAAAGTCAAAAAAATTTATATTTTTTGGATAAATATTTTTTATTACTATTAAGTAGGAATAATTAGTTATGCTAAAAAAATTAATTTTAAATGCAAAAATAAAAAACAATTTATATTGAAAAGAAACTCGATTTTTCATATCATGATTTAGTTTACGTGAAAATTTAAATCATCGTGTCTTCAGCTAAGTATTAAATTAATTTTGTTTCAATTAAATCTACTTTTAAATTTAAAAATTTATTAGAACTGATATTTAAAGCAGCAATTATGGTACAAAAAGATTTCAATTATTTTTTAGCTCTTTTTTTAAATTTGGTACATCTAATAATTTTAAAAAATATAAGTTAGCACTCCTTGTTGCTTGATAACTATTGTTTTTTATAGCTACTTCCACTTTTTAATGTTTTGATATACTCTTATATATTTTCAATATATGAAAATACCAAATATAATAATATATATATCAAGGCAGATAGGAATGCACAAAGTATACTATCTATCTTTGATTTCACTATTGGCTATGACAGACTTTCTGATTGTCGTTCTAGAAAGAGAAAAAAACTAATAATACTAGTGACAATCGACATAATTTTAATACAAAATAAGAATGCATGTTATTAATCTCTATAATCATAATACAATAGATCATGCTTAGTTATCCATTTACGAAAATCTGAGTACACTATAGGCAATAAGACGGTTGCTATTCTGTTATCTAGTCCAGATTCTAAATGCATATGATTATCCATCGATCATTTTTAACAAATGATATAGATGTTGAAAATTTTTTCTATTTACATACTACTTCTTTTCTTTCCATTATTCATCAGTTTAAACGAGTTTATAGGATAATTTAGTCTAAAGAAAATGACTTGATTAGAGTCTTTCAGACTAGTCTGGACCAGGATGAATGACACTCTTTAGAAAAGGACTAGTCGTGGCGAGTGAAGACGACGCGTCGGTATAGTTCTAACTACTATCGAAGATGTTCCAGACTAGTTAAAGTCGTGTGACATCGACTGGTTTCTGATTGTTTACGGGATGGAAAGGAATCAATTTTGTATTTTAGAATGTAAATGGGCGTCAGTTCATTCCAGTGTCCTAGTCTCCCGTCAGGATGATCGTCAGGTTTCGAATTCTGTCGGGTTGGATGTTCGAATTCACCGTTTATCTTCTTTCTTAAACTTCGGACTAGTTTGGACGGGTTCAACGGACAAAACGGACCAGGCATGACGGGGTTGAAAGACATTCTAGACTAGTCCAGACGTGTTCGAAGGACATTTCTCCTAAAGGTGACTAGTCATGTCGGATGTGCAAGACGTTTCAGGCTAGACCTGACGGGTATTGCGGACATTTCGGACTAGTCATGTCGGCCGTCATGCATAATTTTTTGCTTACTTGGGATAATAGTTTTGTATATTTTATATTTTATTTTTGTTATTGTTTTGTGACCACGATGATGGGCATCCTAGCCAATAGCTTGAAAGAAAATTGTCAAATTAAGATAGAATTCAAACGTGTTTTGTGTTACTCACATACTTAATTATTTATTGAACTATCATTCATTTGTCTGTTTTTGTTGAATTTATATAAATGATAGTTAGTCACCTTTTTCTAATGTTCACTTTAATTGACTCTATGTACGAGGTTGACAATGCAAAGCTATTCATTCTGGTCTGATTATCTATTCTTGTACTTTGAAACGATTTATATGAATTAAAAGTATAAAATACCCAGTAAGTCATTGACCAAAAGGAAAACTTTATAGTTCTGTCATAGTTGTCTGGGATGAACTGGTTTATGTACAAATAGTAGAGAACTGTTTGAAGCTTTTATTCATAGTGTAGGTATCTCAAATACTCTTATAAATGAATATTTTTCGCTTTGATGTTTATAAAGAAAAGGAAATAGGTCTGATTGACAGAAAATGCACACTAATAAGATAGAATGCAATAAATTCAACATAGTAGTTGTCTGAAAACTGGTGAGCCAGAAAAAAGGAAAAAAATACTGGAATTCTGCTAGGAAAGAATAAAAATTTCCCAAGAGTGGAGGTAGTCCGCCATCTAGGATATCTCTGTTTCCTTTAAGGAAATTAAAGAAAGTAATTTCTAAATGAGACAAAAACACGCATAAGGAAACGTCTGTTTTTACATTAAGTGGTAGGCGGAACACTTTTCTGACTGACTCACAGATCTCTAGTTTCGATCGATAAACGTATTGCTGAAGACAAAGTGGCTTTTCTGTGTACCGAATGATTTTCGTTATAACCTGTGAACAAGTGAATAGTAAAATAATGGTTTCATTTGATGGTATAGCTACTTCATCATCTATTCTTTTCCATTTCATTCGAATATTGGATGATCATGAACCACACGAACGGACATTTATACTCGAAAAGATTCGAATGGATTATGAGACGGTTTCTACATATCGATTGGATTCATTTCATATTTTATTTATAGAATTTCTCAATAATTATTCTTTTAGTATTCTAAGCGTATCTAAAATTTTTATGTAGGTATCGAGCTGGAAAGCATCGCTCACCGTTCACCATCCTGAATGAATCGCTATGAAACGATGAAGTGACGGAATTTTGTCCGAAGCATTTGACAATAAGAAGAATATATCTCTTGTTTTTGACACACTCTGTTTATAACTACTTGAAGTTAGCTGGCTTCCTATTGATCAAAATGATTTGGTGTCCTCAGGACTCATATGCGCTAGTGATTCTATGCAGCTCGTACTGATGGGACGACACAGTAGTCAAGAAAAACGATGATACTAATATGGATTCCGGAGTCGGTAGATTCGCGGAATCAACTTTTTCATCCTTGTACCGATCCCAAATACTGAAGTTTCATGCGTTTGGTTCGTGATTTCTTCGCCAATCTTACACATATTAAAGTACATGAAAAATCTGATGCATTTAACATCAATTTATTGTCACATTGGACATATTTTTTCTTTCGTTCGCAACAATTATTCTTATTTTTCTAAGATGCTACACATGTTGCCAACAAATGGCGAAGTTCTTTATTATCTTTCACAGCCAAACTTGTCCTTGCTCTCAAGCTACTGACGTTTATCTTCGACTATTGAAGCATATAATTATTGCTTAAATCGAAGAGATAACGAAAATAGGAAATGTTATGTATTCAGCGTGAACCATTGTATTTACTTGTCATTTCTGGAGATCATAGATAAAATACAAAAGATTTATCAATTCAAATTCCACAAGAAAAAAATAAGAAAAATAATATTGTTAGTGAAGCGACAGCAACTATCCAAAATATTTGTTGAATATACATTTATTTAGTTCTTAGGCATGTAAACCCACATTCAGAAATACAAGAGTATTGAGTAGAGCTTATTTGACAAAGATAAATTTTACTGTTAGTGATTTTCTCGAACGGGCTGAAAAATTGTCTATGTTGCAACAAATCAAGTGTTATGAAAAAAGAAATCATAATCGTCGCTTGTTTTTTCCTATACATCATAAACATAAACAAAAGAAATAATTTAACAATGTGTCAAAATATCAATAATATTGATAAATCAAATATTCAACAAGTGGTTTTGTCTGCTTGTAAAACAGCAAAAAAACTTATTGAAAATTTAGAAATACCGCACTTGTTCAAGTAACAGAATATTTATGACTGAAAGAATCTTAGTCAGAACATATATGATGATTATTTATCACCCGAAGAGGATAATATCG